GTCAATAGGGCATAGCCTTGTAGGGTTCATTTATTATTATTCCTCGGAATTATAGTCGTATTAGAGTTTTTCGGCCAGAATCATTCTTTGAGAGTCCGTTGGCCAATGTTTACAAAACAATGCTTCGCGCGCTCATACCTCTCCCACTTTGTATTCCGCTTAAAACGGAATATACTGAAATAAACGAAACAAACTGTTTCATCAATCCTTAACAATACTGTATTTGTTAGGATTTAAGTTGTTTGTTGAACTTTTTTTTTTTTTTTTTTAAGTGAGCACTAATGTTTAATAAAAAAATATTCTCTTAATACTAAATTATGAATTTTAATGACTTAATGCAATATATTTTTATTACTTTGGTAAATTTTTAGTTTTGAATTTTAGGTGCAAATTTTTTTTTTTTTTTTTTTTTTGCTCTAAATATAATTATTTTCAATTAAAAAATATATTTGCAGAAATTTAGTTTAAACAAATATCAAATAGTGGAATAAATATTATAAAAAAATTTTATACACATTTTTAATCCGATGAAAGTATATGTGCAAATAGAGAATGATATTTTTTATAATAAATGCTTTTTTTTTTTTTTTTTTTTTTTTTTTTTTTTTTTTTTTTTTTTTTTTTTTAAATATTCTTTAAGGACTTAAATCGGTAAATTATTAATTTATTAGTTCCTTTTCGATTAAAAGCATATATATTTACATCATATATTCTATTCTATTATAAAAAGTCGCAATTGATAAATTACGGAATCGAGATATCAAATGTTTTTCTATATACTAAAATATCAATAATATTATATTAAGTGAATCTTTACTTCAAATACATTTTAGAAATTAGAAAGTAAAGGAGACTTTTTTTTTTTTTTTTATTAAATTTCTTACAATTTAATACTATACTAAGTAAATCATAATTTGAATGATTTAATTGGATGAAATTACTGGGAAATCGTGTGGAGATGAAACTATATGATACATAAATATTGCAATTAATTAAAATATCGTACCATTTTTGTAGAAATATGCAACGTGTGTCAGGTTTTAAAAAATGACTATTTACTGAGAGTTTAAAGCAGATTATACATGTTTGTAATTTATGTTTATTCATATATTCTTGAGTACATTCAGTTCTAATAAGTCTTGTATTAATTAATTAATATAAAGATGTCGAAAGTGCGTTTTTAAATTAAATTAAATTTAAAAAAAAAAAAAAAAAAAAAAAAAAATAAAAAAAATCTACATTTTTGTAATAACATGTTAGTCAAGATTTTATAATATAATTCTATAAATTTGCGCATTTCTAATATTTTGATATATTATTTCATTGGTATTTATTAATAAAATCGTGTATGCGATAATTTATTAGATTCTTTTCTAGCCAATGATAATATCTAGATATTTTTTTATTTTTTTATTTTATTTATTTTTTTTTTTTTTTTTTTATGTATTCTGAGAATTATTGTATAAAGACCGTTCGAGTTTTAACAGTTTTGTTTAAACGTTGTCCATCGCATTTGATTAAGTGATATGATTTTTATAAACCATAATAACACCTTGATAAACTTAAATAGACATGCGTTAGGCCGATATCATATTATTAGCATACGATCATCTTATTGTGTCAATCATACTACTATTCCAATATATTTCAATATCAGTAATTTAATGCGCAAACAAATAAATAAACCAAATCAATTTTGTTACTAATATTTTGGCAAGCGATAAATACAATGACGTAACTATTATTCAATAATCGAGTAAGAATGCATTCAATCGAAAAGAGTTGTAATAATGCTATATTTTATAAAGCTTATCGATATCTGTGATTGGTATAGTGAAGTAGAAAATAGTAAAACAAGTGAGAAAATGATTATACTCTTCACCGACGATTATCCGGCTCCATAGCTCAGTTGGTTAGAGCGTTGCGCTAATAACGCAAAGGTCGTGGGTTCAATCCCCCCTGGAGCCAATAACAAACGTCTACGTTAGATTTTTTTTCTTCTTTTTTTTAATTTTTATTTTTAATATTTATTATATTATATGCAATTCATAGTAAAAAATGTTTGAAAGTGTGGAGTTGGAGTGGATTACGTTTTGCTATTTGATTAGATTTCTAAATAGATCAAATGAAATTTTCACAAATGAAAAATAAATTAAATTTACAGGCAGAACTTTTATTAGATAACTAATGAAAATGTGAATACGAGCCTCGAAAGACTAACACTAATGGGCTGTAGATATCTATAATAAAGCAAGTCTGGTATTGCAGGAAAAAGAAAGTAATTCTACGAGAGACGAGAGGATGGGGTTATGACGGTCAATATATGGAATGAAAGAATTAATTCTTTCATTTGTTAAGCATATGTCTGGCCGTGTGGTTGTGAAGTTTGTGTAATCATATTAGTTGGACGCCCCGTTGTCCGTATTATTTAACGTAAATTTTTATTTTTGATGCTGCACGCCGGCGAAGCGTGGCGGAGGGGGAGGATGGGAGGGCGGGAGGGGATGGTATGGGATGGTATGGGATGGGATGGGATGGGATGGGATGGGATGGGATGGGAAGGTGTTTGGCAACTTGCACTTGGTACAGTTTAGCCGAAATAAATATATTATATTATACAGGCGATGAATGAAAATAATAAACATATATGCCGCCATTTTTAGAGTTGTGCAGTTGTGGCTGCGTTCGTATGGTTATTGGCACAGAGGCATCCTCGGGTACATAAATCTCGAAGAAGATGGGCTGCACGTAGGATGGCACCGCTGTCAATTTGCACGCTCTTATGATTAATATGCCACCTTTTCATTGCTTACCGTCTACGAGAAAACTGTAATACACTATTTTTGCGTGTACGTGTACATATTTGATCTATTTTGCAATCTAAAAAGAGAGATGGGTGCGTTTCCGCTAGGGTGGGAGGGAGGGCCCACGCCCTCATGGGGAAGGCTAAAACTAAAACATCTATTTTTGCTGTTCTACGGTTCGTCCTTTTGCATTCATTTGTTTGCCACTATTTCTCAAACTTCAGCACATAATACCAAGTTACGATAATAATAATAATAATAATAATAATACGTGCGGCTGATTGATAATTTAGTGCCTGAATTTAGTTTCAAATAAATGATTACTTGGATTGGCTTTGGACATTATGAGGTAAACCTTGAATTTTGCCTTTTGATAAATACGTTCTAGTATTCAATGATTTCCCATATTACGTCGAGTCATTGCGATTAAAGATTCTACATGCGAATGCACGAGTTCTGTTCTTAGTAAATTTAGAATTGGATTGGAAATGTAATGTTACATAAGCTCATTTCTATTCTGGATTAAATTCCGTTGCTTCAATGGTCTTATGATTCTTACGCTTATATGCAACTGCTTAAGCTTCTTTGTTTCACTTGATTTTTCTTCTTTTTTTTTTCTTTTTTTTTTTCTAACGATGAATTAAACAGACATGTTTTAGCTTTGTGTCCGTATGTCTTTTTGCCTCTGTGTCCCTTGAGTTTCTTTGCTCTCTCTCTCTCTCTCTCTCTCTCTCTCTCTGTCCTTGCTTCATTTATTTACTTCGTAATGGATTTTTTTTCTCTTTTTTTTTTCTTTTTTAACCGACGTTCTACTAGTTTTTAGGGCTCGTGTGATAATCGCATGTTTTATATCTCCATTAGATATTTCATGCTTTTATATAACCATTAATACATCATATCCTCGATTAGGCGACATACAAATTCAATAAAAAATTTAAAGCGTTCAATGATATCAAGATTGTTTTATATTTTACAAAAAGATTTTACTGCAGCGACACGAACCAATAAATATGATTATATTTTTTGTGCATTAGCAGTAATAATCTCCAAGCTTCGTTGACATTTAAGCATAATATATTATATTATTTTAAATTGTGCGTATTAATGATTATAAGACAAAAGATTATCGATATTAATGCTTTGCCGAATATATATTTTGTATTTGTAATAATACAATCGATCGACGCGCAACCAGTTTTCAATTCTACAAAAGATTTTTCCAATTTCCTTGAAATTTTCGTTAAATTATATTTATTATTACTTATCTCCAATTTTATGAATTTTATCGTAATATTTTTTATAACTGAAAAACTGTAAAACTGCAGCTCACCACGTATGCGCTCGCATTGTCACAAAAGTCTATTTGTGTTGATAAAATAGTCGCCACTTGGTTGACTACAAATATGGTTTATTGTAAGGGCGCGTGAAAATTCTAATAGAAAAATCTATTAAAATTTCGAAAATTTCGATAATTTCGATAATTTCGATAATTTATATTAAAATGCTTGTGACACAAGAAAAACATTATACAAGTATCGATATACTTGATCACCGAATTGCTTTCCTCTCGTCCAAATTAAACGGTTGATAATAAAGCGCCCGTAAGCTGATAAATACAAGGTTGGCTTCAAATTACAGATTTGAATATTCTATGTATTTATTTTGCTTTTCGATCTCTGTTCTACGGAATTCATTACAAGCTTTTATGGATAATAGGTATGCAAGGACAAAAGGATTTTTTTGTAAATTTTAACAACATGGTTGTTAACATGGTTAAGTGAATAAATTGGATGACTGCGCTCATACAACATATATTATGTTTAATTTTTCTATTTTTACGTCACTGTTTGCATCACAATTTTACATGTAAATTTTGCAGTACTACTTTGTAAGACTTATTAAAAAAATAATATTGAAATTAAATAATATGAGAGTTGGGTAATCTTCTTATATTTAAAATGTTAACATTTTCAACAAACATTATGCCATACAACAATAAATGATGAATATTTTTATTTCACTCGATAAGAACATTAAATTAAATGAGCTAAAATTGCAATTTTAACGATGTTAAATAAAAGGAATGAAATTATGGATTGTGCAAAATTCAATTTAATGAAAATAATTTTATAGGTTAGCGTGGTTCAGTGCATATCGATGGGAATAAGCAATCCCAATTCAATTTATGTTAAAAGGCGGCTGTTTTTTAAGTCATATTTCGTTAAATTAATCCCCGTTTCATACATGTTTATAAATACTTAAATATTACAATGTTAAATATGCATAATGGTATAGTTTTACGTACGAAGTTTCAATAATGATAATTCAAAATTTATTGAAGAAAGTAGTGAATGTATCAGAACTAACTCGTCCAGTATTTATATAATCTCGTTAACCTCCTAATTGGAATACAAATTTCATCAAAATGACAAATGTAAGAGATATCGAATGGCCTTACGAATATAGTGATTTGAAGGTAATTAACTTCTTTGAATTAATTTTTTATTCATCGAATTTTTATGCTTATGTGATTTGGGCATTAAAGCAAATTTTGCTTTTCTTTATTTTTTTTTTTTTTTTTTAACAGAGAATCGAGGATTTTATGATCTGTGGAATTTGTTATGAATATATGGAAACTTCTGTAATGACGCCTTGTTCTCATAATTGTAAGATATATTTCTATTATGTTATATATATATATATATATATTTGTTTTGTTTTGTTTTAATTCTTTCAAAAGAAAATATATTGTTTTAATAGCATTTTATATCCAACTTTTAATCTATCATAATACATATTAGAATATATTCTTTTACTATCCTTTTAATAAACATGTATAAAGACGTATAAGTTTAATGGTATAACATTTATTTCAGATTGTTCTCTTTGTATTAGAAAGTATTTGCATTATAAGACCCAGTGTCCTGTTTGTTTTCATGTTCTGTATGAAAAAGATTTGTATATAAATCGTGCTATGGACGAAATTATTCAACATTATTTACAGCTTAGAATAAAACTGCTTCATCTGATCGACAATAAAAATACAGATAATATAGCAGTTTCAGAAATAGATCCAAATACCCCTCCAATGAGACCAGCTCGAAACAATCAATTTTGCAAATCTCCTAAAGTATCAGAAACGACGATTCAGGGATTAATTAATTCGACGGTTAGTTCATCGGTCGCCACTGCCCCTCAATGTAGCACTAGTAATCCAAGTATAAACGATTCACCCAAAGTTGAACAAAATATTGCAAAAATTTTTAATACTCCTAAAAAAAGAGAGGTCTTATCGACATCGATTGTCAGTACAAAAACTGTATCGTGTCCTGTATGTAGCGTAGAAATATCGGAAACGCACATCAATACCCATTTAGATGCTTGTCTTAAACGAGAATCCAGTGAAAGTAGAATTAAAAATAAAAGGTAATTAACGTTAAAGTTTTTATTGTGCATAAAATAACTAAATCATTAATTTTCTTATTAATCATTAATTAGTTATATTTGTATTTTAAATTTATAATTATATTTGAAAGAGTATAGATATTTATAAGTATGTAAATTAATTAGAGTAATAATTTCAGAATTATAACCAAACGACCACTTCTACCGAAACTTGTCCTTCGAGTAATGAAGGATGCAGAATTGCGTAAAAAAATGAAAGAATTTGGCCTATCAAGTCAGGGTGATAGAAAGACCTTAGAAAATCGATTTACTAGATACTCTATAATTTATAATACCGAATGTGATAAATTGGTACCTCGAGCCGTCGCTGATTTAATAAAACAATGCGAACTTGAAGAAAAACAAGAGCGAAAAATGGATAGTTTTTTATTATCCGCATCTACATTAAATGTATTAGTAATGAATTTCAATAATAATTACTGAGTATGTGCAATAGTAATTTCTACTGTGACTAACTTTTAAATGATAAAAGAAAATTTTTTTTCTTAAATATTATAATTAAATTTTACATAAACGATATTTTTAATTTTCCATCTTTATTGTTCATTAAGCATTTTCAAATATTTTATTGTATATATGTTGTTTATTATACTCATATAACATAGAGAAGGTAATATTATTTTGTTTTTTTTTTTTTTAATTTAAAATTTTTTAAATACAATGCTTTCCTATCGTTTATTATAATTTTCTATTTTACGTTCATATTACCAGAGCGTAGAAAATAGTTATCTAAGTTTTATATTTAAAATATATTTAAATTTGTTTCTTAATCAATATGTTTGTACGTTTGTATGAATATAAATTGATCTCTATATTTATATTATATGTAAATATTATATTAATGTGCTATTATAGTTTAAAATGCTAAATACCGAAATGAATGTAATATTATAATATGTATACACGCATAATATCAGATTAGACTGTGAGCGATAATATTGCACATTCTCCCAATACTATAATCTAAAATTATAAAATAGATTATTTTTGTTCCTTGCAGAGATTACAAATTGAGAAGAATGCCAATGAAGAAAAAATAGAAGAAGCTCAAAAAAGTTATAGTGAGTAAAACGAATTTATGTAACATGGAGTCGGTCAAAATAAATTTGATTTGCAAATAATAATTTTTACAGGGCATGCGAATAAATCCAGCTTCGAGAAACTTATTGAAGATGTTAAAAGTCGAATTGAAATAATGAAGGAAAAGCCAACTATCGAAACGAGTAATTGCAATAGTAAACCGTCCACCTCGATGAACGACAATAATCTTTCAGAATGTACTAGAGAATATGAAGAAAGTATTTTTAAACCATCATCCGATGATGCATTTCAGGACATTGATTCGGATGAATCTTATCCACTACAGCAATATAGAAGTGATGATCCACTAAAATACAATTCGATAAATTTAAACAATTCGACGTCTATGAGTTCTCCAGAGAGTCCCATTAAAACTTCAGAAAAAAGTTCTTGGAGTAAAGAGACTGTAAAATCACCAATGGTTCACGAAAAGATTTTTAATAAATCAGATGCGGTACAAGCGGATGATGAGTCGACCGACGATGATATAGAAACTAGTCCGGTACTGAATAAAAATTTAAATCGAAAGAAGTTTAAATTATCAAGAAAATTACAAACTTTTAAATCTGCCGAAATGCCTCAACGTGTATCAAATAACTTGACAGATACAGAAAATCATAGAATTGTAGCTAGAAATTTATGCAATGACATTATTAATGATTATTCTGTTGATAAACGTAACGATAATAGATCCAGTAAATTTGTAGAGAAACGTATGTAATGGTAGTTAATTTTTTTTTACAAATTGTAAATGAAATATGTTAAATTATTGATTAATTTTTAAAATGTAGTTCATACAAATGAGAGGAGAGGGACCGGTGAGAGGCTAATGGATAGTGTAAGATTAAGTGAGATTAAGGTTGAGGAGAAAGACGTTTTTTTATATAATATGAAATTATTTCGACAAAGCGTAAATTCCACAACTTCTTCCAATGATTTGTGTAGCTCAGTTAATGATAAGTCATGTCTTATGTCAAGCGATGGTCACGATGAATTTGTAAATACGTGTAAGGGGAAGAGTATCGTTGATGAGATCCTACGAACTTCATATTCATCGGATCTAATGAAATTTCCTGCATACATAATAATTGCAATATCGATCGTTTATGTTGCAGGTAACGTTGATTCCAAACAAGTAGAGGAACAAAGAATTAGTGAAATTCTGGAAATTTCCGAAGGCGTAGATAATACGAGACTGGAAAAAGAAAATGATGCTCCTTTTATAAACGAGAATTGTAAATTGACTTTCGAAAACGAAATTCCAGTGTGTCGTCCATTAAGGAAAAGTAATCGTTTGTCCAGTAAATCACACGGTAATTTAATCGACAAGTCATCGAGTGCCAACGAGGAAACAAGTAACTTTAAAAGCGTCGTTACCTCGGACGGTTCATTAAAGCGTCGACGAGGTCGACCCAAAGTGAATTTAACAGATTATCCGTTTGACGAGTCGCTGAATTCACCTAAAAGACCAGCACGTCGTCGTCAGGCAATCGTAGATCGTAATGTAAATTAATAGTCGTTTACCATGATTTAGCTGGACATTTGTACTGCCGAAGATCTTTCTAAGTTCCTTCCTAAGATACCCTTTACATTTAAAAATAATTTAATTCATACTTTTATAAATAATAAATATATATATATATATAAAATCGTCTATATATTGAGATTCGATTATTTATTCATGAATATTCTTGTACTCTTCAAGCATCACTCGAGTGTTAAAAATTAGTATTATTTATATTTGACACAATGAGAATATTTCAATGCTGAGTTTGTTAAGAGGTTTACGAAGAATTCGTATTGCGTATTTACATTATTATCTTATCTGTACAATTGCTCGTGTTATATGTTGGTCAGTTATCGCAGTACAACATGTTTTATCTAATGATTATTGGCCATTCGATGTCTATTAATCATTCATGTGTAACATACAGTTTTTTCAATTCTCCTTTCTTCGCGCCGATGTTTCACGAAATGATAAATGACGTTACTCTTTATCACTTTACACGCATACAAATAATAATACGAAAATACAATTGGTTGTGCTTTATCTGGCGAACCTTTCCAATAATGGCTATTGACTTACCTTATTGACCTACAAATTAATTGAATTTACATAGCGTTTGAAAATTGTTATTTTGCAACTTGATGCAATAATTTATTTTCACAAGTTCTGCTTCGTATTTATAATTAATATAATTGTAATATAATATTGAATTTGCCATTTACAACTGAGGTTGAGAATGATTTAATTAGACGAGAAAATAAATGTACGGTTATGGGTGTATGTAGAAAATTAATCAAATATTGTGAAAGACATTGAACTTTATTTCATACAGGATAACATCGCAGTCTAACATAAGTCATTGACCTAAGTAATGTAAAACCACTGAGCTATTTTTTAAAATAATTTATAATTTTCGTAAAATATGCTCATAGTTCCAGAGCTTAAAGAATCAAAACAATGCCTTTGATTATTTACACACTTATACTTTGGTATTTTGATAAAATTTCTTTATAGATACATATAATTTAAATTTTTCTTAAACTGTTATAACGTTCAATAAAGCTTTTTAAAAGATTTCTATGATAGAAGATTCTATTACAACACTAATTATCACATTTATTAAATATTTATATGTATATGTGCCGATATATTTTCCATACATTTGCATTTTAATGAATTTGTAATAATTACTGCTATATATATATATATATATATATATATATATTCTCCAAAGAGAAAAAATCTTAATCTTTTTCGCTTTTGAATTTTCGCTCGTTACAATTAAAACGGATTTACTTCATTTTCTTTTATCATATCCCTTGACATTTAATTTTATAATATCTGCAAATTATTTTAATTCATAACGTAATCATTATTAATATTTTATACTGACGTATCATTTCTTTTTTTTTACTTTGCATTTGTCAATGTATTTGCTTTTTCTTTTTATATTTTTAAGTAATTATTTTGATGGTAAAAAAAAAAAAACAAAAAAAAAAAACAAAAAAAAAAAAAAAAAAAAAACAAAAAAAAACGAAAAAAACAAAAAAAAAACAAAAAAACCGAAAAAAACCGAAAAAAAACAAAAAAAAAAAATAAATAAAAAACGCTTCAAGGCTATTTTATACAGTTTTTTAACAGTTCATATTTTTTTTTCCCCCTTTTTTTTCTTCTTTTTTTTCTTTATTTCTATTTTTTTTCTTCTTTTTTTTTTCTTTTTGTTTGAGTTATGGGAAAATATTTAATGTTATAAGTACATCAAACGTATGATATGTTTACACTTTTAAGAGCAAACAACACTAAATACAATATAAATATAAAAAAAATAATCTTAAGGACGTTTTAAAATTTTTATAAAAAAAAGATAATAAATAAATAACTTACAAGAAATTGTTATATATATATATATATTTAATTGATATTAATATGTGTGAAAGTGCACTGTATTTATAAAAGTAAGATGTTACATCCGCTGAATAAAAAATTTATTCTTTTCAGTAAATCTTTGACGCTTATATATTTCGTGTACTGTTTTCATTTATCATTTATTTACATGAAAACTTATGTAGGGTCAGATAATCATTGTAATATCGATGCTCAATGATTTTTAAATATTAAAACTTTTTTTACAAGATGTCAATTTACAATATATTTCACTGTTCATAAATGTTTTTTTTATATATGATTTGATATTAGTTAGGAATTTAATTGTTTAATTAATTATAGTTTAAGCTCATTTCATCAGCAAAAGTTGTTCATTTTAATTAAAATTTTCGATTTTATAAAATGAGAATGATGCTCGGCCGTTATCCTTTACAAATTGTTTTTCTCGTTAATCTTGGCACTCAACATCAATCATTCAATTATACAATTATAATACATAGAACGCAATATTTTATTTACAATCGTTGGAGTTGTTACCAAGTAATTTTTTATTGCTTGAAACGATCAGTCTATCGATATTTTTAAAGCTTTCAATTGGAAATTAAATTCCACTCGAAAGCCATTTGAAATTAACTCGTGAATATTTTTTTTACAAGGGGTAGTTGCTAGATTGTATTATATTTTAGAGTGAAACAGGCATAAAAAAAAAAAATTGTAAAAGAAAAAAAAAAAAAGAAAAAAAAAAAAAAAAAAAAAAAAAAAAAAAGAAAGAAAAAAAATGTAGGCTTTTCAAAATTGGAAATTTCAAATTTTCGTATCCAAGTGTGAGGACATTGTTTTAATATCACGTTCCGTCTTCTTTTTTGCGTCTTAATACAGTAATCCCTATAGATCCGCGAATTTTGCGTAATAAATCGATTATATTAGTCGTCGACATGTGTTCCACACTTTCATCATTTACCTGAAAAATAACAAAAAGAAAAATTGATACAAGCTAATTTGAATTTTATATTTGTTATTATAGCCGCTTTTTTTTTTTTTTTTTTTTTTTTTTTTTTTTTTTAATTTTTTAACTATACATATTGAACTATAATTTAAAATAAATTCAATTGAAATGATCTAAGAATTGACGTCGTCGTCTACTATTATTTTGCTGATATAAAGCTAAAATAGCTCTTCTACTACGGTATGTAAAAAAAACTACTTGACGCACTTTTGATGGCTATCCTTTCTAAATTATAGTAATACGAAGTAATATTTATAATATTGTGCTCATATTAAGATAGAGTTTATTAACTTTTACATTAAATTAAAATAAATTATTCAATCATAAGTTATATCTGCTCTAAACTGCATACCAACTCTACAACAATATTTTTAAAGGCATAATTAAATAATCGAGAGTACCATTATTAAAACATCGCCTTGCTTGAGTCTTCCATCTTTAGCAGCGACACTATCAGGATGTACAACAGATATCACTGTATTTTCTCCGTCTGATTGTAAACTAAAACCAAGACGACTATTCCATCCTCGTGTCAATTCAACCATGAAAACCTGCATCATATATTCATAATTATGAAAAGTCATAAGAAATTTCTCTATTCATTAAAGTTAACGCGTCGTTATAACATCAATTAATGCCGAGTTGAAATTTAAGAAACGAATGTAAATAATCACTTACCTCGTGTCCTTGTTCATGAAGGCTCGATAAGGCAGCCGATTCAATGGTATCTTTATTAATTGGCATTTTACATTTTCCGTCAATTTCATCGCTATCGTTTGGTGCAAACATAACGCCCTTCCACTTCAAAAGACCCTTACTGCCACCTGGATTATCAGCTCCCATAATTTTACCTAAATTAAATAGCACGCAATTAAATATTCATTGACTAATGAAAATGTCAAGCAAAGGTCCTTCCTTTTCATCCTTCAACCTTCAAATTACCTACAGACACATCGACCTACAGACGCTTCGTTTGTAAATTTATGCTATATTAATTGATTCTCTAGTCGATTCTAGTCGATCCGAAGAGCACAACGTAATCTTAATTCTTCGTCGCTTAAGAAGTAAAGCGGCAATCGTTATATCGAAATTATAAAACTTTACCGTAGTCCTAGTCTTTTTGAATTTGCGAGCTTGATACACGGCCTTCGAGGATTAAACATCCCATAAAGGTCGATCGAGCAATAAAATAAACAAAGTTGCTGGTGAAGTATGGAAATAATAATGGTCGCGTTGTTACGGGGAGAAACGTCCTCTTGCGAAATTAGGGCGAAAGTGGTAGGTAGAAGGGTAACGTACCTGGAATATCCTGCTCGCTCGAGTGCGAGACTTTAGTTTTTGTATTGGCGTTCTCGACGGGTAGAGCGGCCCCGCATGCTGGATTCGCGCTTTGGTAAGCCGGATTCTTGTAACTGAAAGTGGCGTCAGCGTCGAACAACGGTGGCATCGACGCCGGTTCCGCGAGATGGTTAGTGCCTGGCACGTTGCTGTCAAGAGCCGCGGCTACGCGATCCCGTGCCCCGTGCTCGTTGTCAAGAGCGATGACGGGATCCGCGCCGTTACTGCAATCCGAGTCGATGCTGAACTGGAAGCGCGGCTTGTCGATCGGGCTGCGCAAGTCCAGGAAACTGGGCCGGCTCGGCTGCTGCTGACAGGCCTGAGCAGAGCTCGAATCGCTCGAATCGCATACGTCGTAGAGCGGAGGTGGGTCTATGATGTCGTTGGCCGGGGTTTCCGGCTGCGAGTTCGTGATGTGAGTTTTGATGGAGCACTGGTCCGAGTCCGAGGTTTCCTGGCTAAGGCTCGACGGCTGCGGATGATGCTCGTTTTTGCGACTGACGCTACTGCCGCCTGAATAATTTAAGGGAAGGGCGTGAGGTAAGGAGCGTAGGACAACGTAAGCCAGAGTCCCGGGGTATTCTCATCATCACTCAAGCTCTTACGGTACGTGTAGGCGATCATTTTAATTTTATTCTTGTTTAATTTTAAATTACTCCTTCGGTAGTCGTAAGCGCTCAGTCTTGGACGTAGAAAAACGTGCGCTAATAGCTGAATGACGAGCCGTGATAAACTGATAGCATCGATATTCTTAAAATTGCGTTATTTTTCATGGAAAATTATCTTTATTATCTGTGTTGCGAATACTGATTGATAATAGTTTAGCGACGAGTTGAGACAAATTGAAGTACTGCGAGTGATAAAATTACGGTTAAAAAACGTATCGATTTCGAAGGTAATAAGCGAGGATAGCGATGAGCTAATATCGATTCAGAGATTATTATGTAAGAGAAATTTGAGAATTTAAGGGTATGGATAACATATTGGATAATTCGATTTGTGTGTTTGAATTATTTTTCAACTACGGATCGGATGAATAATTAACAATTACAATTACAATTACGATAGAAGTGCATTAAAGTGTCGGTAATTCGCAGTAAGTAAATGATAAAACAAATAGAAATAGTTACAATTTTGAAATAAAGTGAATCGTATGATAAGAATGGGGGAGGAAAATAGAAAAAATTCCAATTATTAATAAATCGATGAACTATTGAGTTGGGCAGAGTGATGAAAATCCATGATAATTGGAAATGAAATATCGAGCTGAATTTAAAGGAATAATGGAGAAGTTACTAGGTTTGATATTAAGTAAGCGTATGCGAATAACTTGAGGTCTTGTTGAAAAGTTTGCATTTGCGATTAAAAGCTAAATAATGATTCTGGCTAAACGCGATGCGCAACAAGTGATTTGAATGATTTTAAATTCGCTCGGCAAAATACAAAAGTCTCATTGTGCCACTGCCGAAATTCGAGTGTGACAGAAGCACGATCGAGATAATTAATGATTTCTCCACGACAATCGTAGATCGATGAACGATAAAAAGTCATAATATTTATTGTTTTGAAAAGGTAGATTTGTCGCGTAAATGTTATGAAAGCGCGAGCCTAGTTATTGACATACTTTTTTTCTACTTTCACTTGGATTAAATGCCACGCGAATTGCATTATTATAAGTGCAAGGCACAATCTTATCGTCCAAATTATTCAATAGACCTTGCATTGCTAAATAAATCTATCTCTTTACATAGCCAATTAATATACATGGAAAATTCTTATTATGAAGTAATAAGAATGAATAAAAAATTATAAGGAGACGATGGAATCGAAAAATTTATACAGATTATCATTTACGCATTTATACGTAATATGAGAATATAAGTGGATAGAACATTATGTGTGCGTGCGTGCGTGCGTGCGTGCGTGCGTGCGTGCGTGCGTGCGTGCCTGTACGAGAAAGAATGGATATATCAATTTATCGAAAATAATCGTTTATATTTCAATTGTAATATTTATAAAGGATGATTATCTAAATTTTTGTAAATAGTTTAATAAACAACTTTACCGGGAAAAAAAGGCATTTCTGTTGTAGGCGAAACAAGATGCTTCAACGTCACTTCAACAAGTATTTATAAATCCTATTCGCGCTATTGCCTTAGGTAATGGTAAAAAGAAAAAAAAAATTAAAAATTCCAAGTGACAAATTCTCACGTTAATCATAAATCCACCCATAGAACCAGCACAATGGATTATATTCTACATTAAAATTTACGAGATTTTCCACTTAATTGCGCAATCGCATTCGACCAACTTATAAATATAAAGTAAATGGCGTTAATATTCGGCGCACCTTCATCGGTCTCAGCGGTCGAGGAACGCGTAACAGGTCTGCGCAACCGTCTTGGCGAGTTACAGGATGTGCTCGACGATTGCCGGGGACAAGCGGAACCACCACACGACGTGCGCGGCGATAATTTTCGTACTGCCAGGTCACAAAGCATATCCACTGCCTCTTGCCTATAAGAGAAAAGAATTCAAAATCGATAAAGTGCAAAGGGGATTTTAAAAAAGGGTTTTTTTTTTTTTTTTTTTTTTTTTTTTTTTGAACACTGATATTTATCTATCTGTATCTTTACTTGATTTATTGCATTTATTGCATTTAAGCAATTATCTTATAATTTATAGGGATAATAAAGTAATGAAATAATTAAACAAACAGACACAAAAGACTTTTATGATGATATGGCAATTTGAAGAAACTTTCTCTAAATATTTCATTTCTTTGAACAGTTGTACAATTATTCAAGATAATTAAGCTCATTGGATTAAAAGAAAAAAAGAAAAAAAAAGAAGAAGCATAATAAGTTTAAAGCAATAATTCTTTTTTTCTTCATTCTTTTACAATCCGATTGACTATTCGGTCCCATAGTGAAGCGTGAAACTTAATCGTTAAAATTATAACGATACTGATAAAGAGAAAAAAAAATCCACGGGAAATTAAGACAAATATCGCGAGAAAAGAGAGATAGAGAGAACAAGAAATACTTAACAAAGGTAAATTAAATTATAGTGCGCATTGATAATAATAGCGAGGAAAGATATATCGTGAATGATTTTACGTTTTTTAAATGCGACAAGTATCCAAGAGTCAACAATTTTCGGCAATCCTTGAGCGGAGGATCTATTGGATCATTTAGCTAGTGGAACTCCTCGGGTTTAAAGTTAAGTGCAAATAATAGAAGCATAGCTATAGCTCACCTCAAGGAGGTTTTGGTCGGACGGACGGGGGAGTCGGACTCGGTGGGCGAGAGCGCCGAGACTGGCGTTTGCACTAGATCGCGGTAGAGCCTAAGGGTGACCCTGGGACCGCATCTCCTGAGCAACGCAACGGCCTCCTCGTGGCTCATCGGGGACAGGAGGGTCCCGTCGACCGCGACGATCTTGTCGCCCGGCTGGATCCTACCGTCGCTTAACGCTGGCTCCCGCACCAGGGCGCGCACGTAATGCCCCAGGGCGCTGCTGTCCGCCTTTCGTAGAGTGAACCCGAGGCTGCCTGCCACCTTCGTCATCTCGATGTCGAACTCCTGTCGCAAAGAACTCGGTTAGCTCGCTCATACTCGAGACTCCGTTACGCTCTCTCAACCGACCTCAGCCCGTACAATCAACGGACAAACGCACATTTTCACGTACGCGCACGGCCATTGCTTAATATGCATCGGGAGGAGTAATTGTCAAGTAACGTCGCCCATGGCAAATCTCATAGATTACCCGACTTGTGCAAATTCCCCCCCCCCCCTACCCCCCCGCCCCCAATACAGTACACGAGTTTTAATGATTATTCTTTTTTACACCAATATTTTCTCAACTAGGTTAATCATGGCTTACAATTTCCATTGGAAATGGAGCCGCTGGGGCACGGCCATTTGAATAATAATCTCAATTTAAATTATGATTTTTGTAATTTCTTTTATCCGAAGTATATAAAGTTTTATTAGCATTTGACGTTTAATGCCATGATATAATGCCAGCCTTGTATAAAATTTCGATAAAGAATAAATAATAAAGTACGCCCTCTAAACGCTTTAAACATTTGGTATTAACGACTATCATCAACACTGCTTTGCTATAATCATCGTCTGTGTATTTCTCAGCTTTTTGTCTTTTCCTTTAATTTATTTATCTCTACATTAAAATCAATATTACACATATATTATACTCATATATTCATATATATATATTCATATATATATATATATATATATATATATACAACCATTAATTTTTCCTTGATTGATGCAATTATCTTATTACATGCCATTGATACCGATTCTGTTTGCCAGTGGCAGAGTAAAAAATAAATACCAACTTTTTTCCAAATATTTAATAAATAATATTGTAAACTCAAATTAGTGATAAAATATCAAATCCTTTCAACATGTTATCATTGACTCAAGTTTCATTACAAAGCTTTTTCTTCAATCTTGGACGACACTTTGGTGAATTTTTAAACATTGATATGAAAATACAACCTCGCGTTCGATGTTCTTGAAAGCGCTAGTGCGCAATAAATAGAGGAAAATTTTATAATACTATTTTCTTCATGTTATGCGGCATAATTAAATATCCGTATTGGCCTTGTTAAAGATCTAATTGTAAATCCCGTATGTAGGCTATGCACAGGTACGAGAGTTTAATGAAAAATTAATAGCTCAACGCCGCTCACTTTAAATGTCATTGCTAAATTAATCGAAACCCATTCGTAAGCCATTCTTAGTTTATTATTGCATTTATCGAAGAATCTTGAAAATGAGTGACACCACAATAATCGACTCTTATCCCTTTGACCGCGCGTGCGGACAATTACAAGAAAAACATATTTTTTAAATTTATATCCAGAGCTTCTTCTCCCAGCCAAGTAACGCATAGTTATTTTTATCGATTTACCCCGCACGGTTCAACATCCAAGAGTGGTAAAGGATTCAGAGGTATTTTGAGGGTAAGTCCGGGATTATCTCTGCGTGTTGGGGGCGGCGGTGGCGCCACGCCTGGTGGTGTCCCTGCTGTATCACCGGGAAGTCGACATACAACCAGCTCAACCGTAATCGAAGTTGTTCTTAGTACTTCGAGCGCCTCCTGCAACAAGTACGTGAAACTTCAATGAAACAAACAAACAGCGAGTATTCGATGGGTCAAGTGGTGCTCGAAGGTATACAAGGGTAAGGTAGGTGGTGGGTTCGGTCTAGCGCTCCAGCATTAATATTATTAGGAGGAGGAGGAGGAGGAGGAGAGGACAAATAGTACTGATAAACCAATGAGCTGATAGACTAAATTGCTTACATTTTGCCTCGCGACATACAAACAAAAGTTCTCGCGTAGCAACCAATATACAACGCGTTTAGCATTAATCACCACATTTATTCGACATTTTGCTTATAAATTTTATTAATTAACTTTTGCCGCCAAATTGTCGCATTCATAATCGAGATCATCGGTCGTAGGCTACGATACAAATTAATATTTTACCGATCCTCAAAGTGAATTTAATTTGAAAAACTTTTGATAATTAGTGATGCTAATTAAATATATCCATCGCGAGCGACGATATTCTTATATCATTATGACTCCTCTCGCTCTAAATTAATTTAAAATTAAACTAAAATTTACGGCAAATGCTTATTTCATTGCATTTTTCCAAATCCTTGGAAAATATGAGAGACATAATCTTGATTACATCGTGTTCAATGGCATTAAAGGCAATCGATTGGACATTCTGAGATGAAATTACAATGTAGAATTAGAATGAGGCATTTACGATGTAATGATACGATAATATAAAAATTACGTCCAATTAGTTTAACATATTTTTACAAGCTTGATCGATTAGCCTTTGTACGTCGTGTTGCAACAAGTATCCTTAATTTTTTATTAAAAAAAAAAAAAAGAAAGAAAAAGAAAAAAAAAATCCATCCTTTGTAATAAAGTACCGTCGACTTTTAAATAAATACTATAAACGATATCCTATGAGAAATTATTATATTCTCATATTTAATGGATCAATTAAAAAACGATTCGCGTCTGCAATATTTGATTTTCAATTAGTTGGCAAGTATAATGCGCAATTTTATGCACAATTTTAATTTAACGTGAAAAGTCTTAAAGAACTAGCTATTCAATTTTTACTTTTTATTGAATTCTCAAGTACATGCAGCCGTTGGACAATATAGAACATATTTTTATGGATATTTTGCGAGTAAAATGTCCGCGATCGATTAGCCGGACAAAAGTGATTGCCATGTGTGGCTGTCATTTGCTCCCGCGGTCAATCGCTTATGAGTCATAAATGCCAAAATTAACGAGATGTCGATAATAATTATCCCTAAAATATTGTATATATTTTTATCGGGGGCTCGCATCGATGCTCAAGAGATGTTAATAATTAATCAAGGCTAATCGTGATAAATTGCTATCGGCCTCATGACTTTAACAATTTTACTGCCAATATCACCAACAGATTTATTATATTTATGAGTACAGTTGGTTTTAAACGTAACTCGGGCTAATTATTAGCTATTGGTATGAAAAATTAATTAAAGTCACAGATAATAGGCGAGCCATTACGTTATTTATATAAAATTTTCATTCAAAATTGAAATGATTTCGTTAATTTAAACGACAATTTCGGGCTGATGGACTTGTTACTTTGATATAAATCATTATGAAAGAAGGAATCATTTGATCATGAAATTTATTATTATTAAAAGTTAGAGAGAGAGAGAGAGAGAGAGAGAGAGATAGATAGATAGAGAGCTCGTCATATCTCAGAAATTTTCATTATCTGGATAATGAAAATACGCTTATGGATGATTAAGCTGACCGTTCACCATCGTCGATACCAATATAAAAAAAGACAGGCGATGAATGGGAAATCTCGGGAGGAGAGGCCATTGACAACGGCAAGCATAAACTTTCGCGTTAATACTCGACTCGGCTTGGCTTACGTAGTTAGTAAGGCCCGTGAGTGGTATTCCGTTGGCAGCCAGAAGAATGTCGCCAGGTTGGAGCTTATTGGAGAGGGCGGCGGGCTGTTGGGGAAAGAGCCGCTTGACGCGGACTGGACCTGCAACACCGCCACCCGACACGCTCAAGCCCAGGCCACGACTGCTCTTCTTCAGGACCACTCTGAATGTGCTCTCTGCAATATAAAAGCCGTGTTTCGGTTTAATAATAATATCTTGTAAGGGATAAGGAGGCTGTTTCGCTGTAATCGTTATGTAATCGTCTATAATGTGCAAAATGGGCATTGAGTTTCTGTAATTTTGAAGGGAGCTCGTGATTATTGGTTATCGCATTAACTTCGAGACATTATAGAGAGAAGGCATTATAAAAATCAAGTCGCCAAGTTGATGGACGGCCATTATCGTGAGCTATTTTTTATGTTTTATTACAAAGAGCATTTGAAATAAGTTTCTAATGGTGCCCAGCGTATCCTAGAGCTCATTGTGCACAATGAAATTTAACGATTCGTAAAATTGCATTTTCTTGGGAATCAAGGTCAATCTTTATCGCTTAGATTTAACTTGGAAATTATCGATTATCAAGCATTTGTTTAATATTCTCAACGAAAACTAGAGACTCTGATCCCCCTCCTTAACCACCATTATTACAATCTCCTTGATGACTTTGCTATCGAGTCAACATCATAATAGACGGAATAAGTACACACGCGCACTATTTTCATTAATATATCATATCGTTATAGTTTATTATTTAATTTTCTAATTACATTCTATTATTTATTAGGGATAAGAAAATTGTGCAGCTCCGTGGTAAATGACGTTTACCAATATGATTAAAATTTAAATGCATTAGCGTTTCTCAATTTTCATTTTTATAAATGCCATCCTCAATCATTATTAAAAACGACAAGCTCGTTTTAAATTTATTTTATTTATTTAAAGATATGCAAATGCTTGTAATTTCTTATTTAAAATTGGTTGTGTTTTATAAGTCATATAAATATTTTCATTTCAAATGTATAAGTACCAAAATCTCTCTCTCTCTCTCTCTCCTGTCTCTCTCTCTCTGTATATATACATACATAGTCTTCTATAATAATATATTTTAACATTTACTATTATATACATTGTAAATTTATATTCTCCAACGATATCTTTATTATTTTATCTTCTCAGAGTAATTTTATTTTTCAATAATAAATTTAATTTATAAGATTGAAGTGATTCTTTAAAGTTTTTAAGTTAAATTTAATAATTATTAATGATATATTTATATAAAATATATATTGTTAGATAAATAAATAAATATGCAACTCTCTTTATTTCTGTATATGTATATATATATCTTTAATAATTATTATAATTAGATAAAAATTTTTAAATATCTAATAGATATAGCTAATAGATATACAAAAGATGCGAAAAATATTCGTATTAACTATTATGTTAACATATATTTCAAATATTAAATAGTTCAACAGTGAGCTTTGTATGTAATAATTTTGTACATTTAAAGTTTAAGTGAAAATATAATTAATATTAATGAAGTCGAAAATATGATTATGAATAATATAACCAATTGCAAAGTGTATTGTTAATAAAAAAAAACTAAATGTATGCTATTGACTGTATTAATAAAAGATTAAAGTTAATTTTTTCTTTGGATTCCGATATTGGAAATCAAAATTCTGTAGATTAATCGGCTGACAACTGATTGGAACATTTTCTCAATTTTCATTTACTGCGATATATCTATTCCCTTTTTTCGAGCCGAACAAATACCAAAATATTTACAAATAACATTTTTTATTATATAATTTGATCTTTTAAATGTTTAATTATACAATTATACGAGGCATAAAAATTTGAAAAATAAATATTAATTATTTAAAAATGAATAAGTTAAAGAAAATTATTTATGATAAATGCGGATTTTTTTTTTTCATTTTAAAAATAAAATTTTAAGCATCTATGTTCATATTATTCTTTTTTAATGTTTTTTTTTTTTTTTTTTTTTTTTTTTTTTTTTTTTTTTTTTTTTTTTTTTTTTATTTTATTATTATGGTACAATGTTTTGAAGCGATACAAAATGAAAGTTTTAAAATTATAAATATATGAAAAATGGTCATAGCGTATTTTTAATAAGATGAAGGCATCGGATAAAAAATAGTGATTTAATTAAGTAGATAAGCAGCGTCTGTAATTTAAAATTTTTTTTAACGAATCTTTCTTCAGAAAACTATCGTACTGTAAAAGAAAGCTTATGGGAGTGAATAGCACATTAGAAGAAAAGTAATACAACTAATTTTAAAGGAATGCGATTCATTAATTTAATTTATTAATGGATTATCTATTAATGTATCTGTGGTTTGAGTTGAGCGACACGTGTATGCAAGAGAATACGCGTAATTATGGAAGGCATTATATACGCTGGTTAATCGCTTTCTTGTCTCTGCCGATTAATGCATACGTTTATGTATATATATATATATATATATATATATGCACGAGTAATCGTATATGACATTGCTCTTCATGTATTACAACAGTTTCATCTGACACTTACGTCAATATACGGCCCGTAGGCATCTGTGACCTTGAGAGAAATATTGTACACACAACCTTGTTGGATTACGTTTCATTATTATTTATGATCATATTTATTCCTCATGTATATTATATTTATATTTTGTATTAATTTCTTTATTTTTCGTTTTTTTTTTCTCGCTATTTTTTCCCCTTAAAAATTCGAATAACGAAATTTCTTAAATATTACAAATGTACACAATAATACTTAACCTCTTATAGGTTATATTAATTTTAAATCGTGATGCTTGTAAATTTTATGAGGTAATATCTGGTATATTTATTTCTATTTCAGCATGGGGATCGAATATCAGAAACAACGTCTCAGAAAACTCGGCACTTGGATATAAATAGAAATACCGACTTATCTCGTTATGTTGAGCCATACCTGCCTACGTTTTTACCATACCAAAACTATTCATCGTTTCAACATCATTTCCCCAGATTCTAACAATTATATGTTAAAATTGAGAAAATATCTTTTAAACGTGAAAAACCAATATTAACATTTAATTAACTCTTAATAAGTAGTCGATATATTAATTTATTTTTTAGCGCCTTCTACGAAATTTAATATTAATTGGCGTTAGGTTATTTCATTAAAAAAAAATGTATATTCTTGATTATTTAAACAATAAGTTATTATAATTTAAATATAATTGTATTTAAAACACATTAAGAATGAATCTTTTACTTTTGGTCTTTTCATCAGGGATAATGAAATGCATAATTTGGTTCAACGAGGTGTGAGAGCTAAGTTCCCGAACGTATTTCTATTAAGATCTTAAAACTCTCTCTCTCTCTCCCTCCCTCTTCACTCTTTTTAAAAGCAAAAAGGAGCTTTTTATTTTTGTTAAATGAGTAATTTTGTCACCTTTGACTTGCATTCGTTTCTCCGTCTGAGCACTGGCCGTTGAAAGAACAGATAGCAAATTGAGAGGAAAAACTTTTTTTTTAGTAAAATGAAAACTTTGACGTCTACTTGCTTTTAGTCTGGTTCTCTGTCTCTCTGTCTCTCTGCCTCTCTGTCTCACTCTCACTCTCGCTCTCAATCACTCACTCACTCACTCATTCAATCATTCGGGTTGAGATTTTGAAATTATTGCCTAATCTTTATGACTATATATATTTTCCAAATTTGTTCATAAGCTTATTCGTCCAACACAAACTATTAATTACTGGTATCTCTGGAATTCTATTTCCATATCGTTTCTAAGTAACAGATAATAATTTTTTGCGATGATATTAAAAACTATTTAAAACTTAATTTTTATAACAATAAACTTGAGACATTCGATTTATACTAAAAAAAAATCTATAATATAATTATATTATCAATCTATGTATAATACGATAATTTGCTCAAAGTTTTCTACTGTTAATTAACAATATTTTTATTTTGTTTAGCAGTTTAATTAATGTTAAGCCAAGAATCAAGTATTATACTGATTGTATATTTAAGAATTAATAATAAAATTTATAAGTGCGTATTGTTTAAATTTGAAAAATTATCAAATGAATAATAATAGATAATCGAACGTTGCCAACATTTTATAATATATAATATATATATAATTTTTGATATATATATATATATATATATATATATTGCAAGAGCAATATTGCATATAAAACGTTAAAATAGCATTCCGACTACAGAAATATTGTTATGAATATCATTACTTTTAATATCAAAATAGAAGTCTGTAGCATACGTCCTAAATATTCATCGCTTGGCATCTTAGGCAACTACGACGACTCTTCAACAACGCTTCGACAGTTCTGAATTTCCTCTAAAGTTCAGTGAAGCTTGTCTCCTGTCATTTATCTCGCATAACTTCCGTAGTTAGACAATCCATAAAAATCGATGGTTTCAAAGTGCTTGGACCACTGATCCGAACTGCTCACGCGCACTCGAGACGCAACTGAATTTTGTACACGCATGCGTGAAGCTTTGCGAGCAACACTTTACCGACACATATAAGCAATTTTTAATTAACGAGAACACATACGCGCTCACATTCTGCCTATTTTACGTGGGCAATTAAATTTATGCGGACGCGAGGAAACATCGTCGACTTTGAGCTTCGAGCATACGCAACACCAATATCATTTCCTCTAATGTTTATGCATTATAATGTGTACATTAACTATGTATACGGATGCCACAGCGCAAAGTCGACTAGTGCGACAAATGCATGTTTGAGTGGTGTGAATCGATGTACTTATCGGTTCTTTCTTACACGTTACTATTAAGATTAAGAGAATAAATTTTTTAATTACGAAAGTTAAAATCCAATTAATTAAGATGGATTTAACTGATTTAACTATAAGCAGTAATAATTATTGGATCACTTTTTTTTTTTTTTTTTTTTTTTTTTTTTTTTTTTAAATAATTAATAAAACGATTACAAATATTAAATCAATATGAAATTTGTTTTACTTTCTTTTTACTATTTTTTTAATGGTGGTAAATTTTTTTATCTAATATAAGTCATGAGATAACTTTTACTCTGTTAATGATATTTAATAAAAATTTCCCATATTTTACCATTGTTAATTCTTTTATTAGTCTTTTTTTTTTTTTTTT